TACGATACCAGGTGAACAACCAGGAAATGTCGCGGGCAACTTGCTTGAGCTTGTATGTTTTCAGGATAACCAATAAAGCTGACACTACGAAATGTTATGCAACTATGTGCAATGTGACTCTTTCTCCCTATTTATGACTAGACCCAACGCAGATGCTATCGGTTTTCGAAGGTTGAAGATATCGCATCGCAAAAAGTAATATACCGCAACAACTGAGTCGATGGGTTTACGAACTGTCTAGTGTATGTCGCATTAATGTCAACAACATGCAATAAGATCATTCGTAATCACAAATTGTATTGTGTTCTCACGATAGATCCGGCGAAATGGATAACTACTGCAATCACACGATATCTCCGTTGCACTTAACACTGGAAAATCCTTAGATTTATTATAGATTTGTATTCACAATAAAGTTTGCAAACATATTATTATTAGTTTACATCGTGCCTAAAAGTCATCTGTGAAAATATCGTAAAGAAAACGCAGTAATTTTTTTTTATTCGAAGGTAACATGAATCATCACTAATGCGGCTCCCCCGGCTGAAACTTCGAAGTGGCTTCAATCTATCGACTAGCTAATTAAATAATCCTCTTGGACGTGGTCGCGGCTCGTAGACGGTAGGAACAGGTCGATACATCTCATTGTAACAGGATAAACAGGAGTTGGGACATGGCGGTGGTTCGAGAAGCGACGAAGTTGGGTGGACAAAGTTGGAGGAAGAGAAGAAACCAAACGGTGGGTGGAGGACGAAGTCTCAGGAAGGAGGATAAGAGGACGAGGAGAGAAGATCGGGGGACTTAGCTTCGGTTCGTGGGCCCACCGGCCGTTGGAATCCGAGATCGCGTCTGATCGCAATTAAGGCCCCGCTCCGGCTGCGGCTGTGAATATTTTATTCCAGTCGTTGTCTCCCTCTCGCCGTCTCCTTTCCTCTTTCTCGTCCCTTCCTGCTCCTTTTCCCTTGGTTTCTCTCCTCGCTCCGAACCCTCTGTACGCCGGCAGTGTTACACCGTGCACCACACACCACCGCTCCTCCGTCTCCACCTCGGGACAACACGCTCGGATCCCTTCCTCGTAATGCCGAGGACCGCTGCCCCTCTCATCCGTACCCGCTTATGTACCCCCAGGTTGGGGGAGGCACCCAATTCGAAACGAGCGAATTTGAATACGGCCGGCCAGGTTCAGAAACAATGGGGACATCGATGGACCACACGGGATGCGAGCAAATGGTCGAACAACCGCAGGACATGCGTTCCGGCAAGGATTGCTCCTTTTTTTTCGAGGCCGCGAAACTACCCACGAAACTACCACCAACTATCGTCGGAGTAACTCTTATTATTACAGCCTATAATACGTCGCCTTCGATATTCAGACGCGTTTATGAATTTGTTTAAGAAATAGTTAGATATAATAATAATAATTTGATATTTACCGACCTCTCCTTCTTGATAACGAATTTGTAGTCCTCACTGGAATATCGAAATATGCAGTATAAGGAGATTATAGGATATTTTATTTATCGAAGAAACGCAGCTGCATGAAATTATAGTAATGATGTATTTGTATTAATAATTTGATTATTTAAATAAATCTTCCAGATATTTTCAGAAAAATTTTAATAGACTGAATTATTTATAACTTATCGTAAAACATTTTTTGATAAATAATCGACAATTCTCATCACAATTTTCACATTTCACTTTTCGAGCATCTTTGAAATTTCCAATTGAATTTTCTACATATTTTATTATATAATGTCAATATATATACGACTTAATATAAAAAGAGAATAACTGCATTTAAATTTCATGAAGCAGCGTTTGTCTTCGACAAATAAAGTATCCTACAATTTTCTTCTACTGCATTTTGATATTCAGCGAGGACTACAAATTCGTTATCGAGAGGGAGAGGTCGGTAATTCGGTGGTTCCTCGACAGGAAGGAAAGAACGAGGATCTCCCGGAGTACGAGAGAGCGAGGAAAGGAAGGACCTTTTGTGAAATCGATACTGGGCGAAGATGGTATCGGGCGGATCCAACACGTGTAACGTACTACCGCGCCGCCGGGACGAAATCAAATTTATTTTGCTGTTATTTCCAGCGAGCTGCAGAGCCGCTGGTCCACGAGGAAATATGGGAAATCGAACTTTCTGGAAGCATCGTTGGAGAGAGGGGTCTTCAGGTATATTACCGCGGATGTAAGCGGTTACATCGCGATAACCGATGACGGCTGACTGGTCGCTTACGAATCGTACGAGAGCTGGGAATCTACTATCCGCATCGTAGCTGAGTAATTAAAGAGTAATACACGGAAAGAACAGTTTTACTCAAGTATCTAAAAATACAGATCTGAAAATAATTTGATTGGATTATCAAAATAATTAGGACGCTCAAACTACTTGGTATACATTTTTCGCAACATCATGTTTAAATTTTCTACATAATTATTTTGATAGTCCAACAAAATTATTTTCAGATCTGCATCTTATTTAAATTTCTAGATACTCCAGTAAAATTGTTATTTTCGTAAAATAATTTAAATTTAAATAGATGATAATCTAAAATTCTGAAAAATATTAAACGCAAAAAATCTGTGTTAGAAATACAATTAGTGAACTTCATATTCGAATCAAGTTTGAAATAAAACTTCTATCTATTTTCTGTAGAAACTAATACTATTATAATATTCAATATCTTACTATAACTTCGAGTAACATAAATTTCACAGAAACTAGACATTTTTATCATATTAAACTAAGTATTTATTGGTCAATCTGTATGCCATGATAATTTATAGACATGCTGAAAGCCGCATGAAATCGAGTAATCTTTATTAACTTCATTTCCTATGTAAGCGAGAAAGCGCATAACAGTATATGACAAACATATCGCTGAATTCCCGGTACGTTACTGATTTACGACAGGCTATGTCGCGTCGAGTATCTTTTCCCACATTCGAACGAAAAATTATGTGCGGTTAGCGCCTTAGCAGGAGGATGCGGCTACAACCCACGGGAAACGTCTTACGGTACAGGAACGTGATGGGTCATGTGAAAGACGGGGATACCTGTCGGGTTCATGGGGTGGTCCCGTGTCACGAATGATCGTCCTGAGGCGAGTGAGTCCAGAAGAGGGCCAGCCAGGCTCACCGTCGAGGACCACTGCCACTAAAAAAGACAAGAGATCGGCCAACGGGGACAACTCATGCGGAATCGCTAACGAGCCGAGCAGACACCCGAACGATGGATGGCTCGAAGGACCAGAACCCGAACTCTTCAGACTTCGATACGTCTCGAGAAAATTCCACTTTTTGGCTCGTCCCTTCCCCCGTCTATCCCTCGGCGAAGGGATGCCTAAAATATCCCGATGCTTTCCGCTTCCGATAAATTAAAATGACATGGAGAAATAAAAGGTGTTTCTATAAAAAAAACTATTGATTAATGCGAAATACTTGCAGACACTCAAAACGATAAAGAAAAATTGTGTGACGCACACAAAATTTTTTATTAATAATACAAAATAATAAAAATAAAATAAATAAGTAATTAAGAAAATGAAACGTCTAGTTTTCTTTCAATATTTAAATGGTTTATATCGTTAATTTTTGTAATTTATATTCGAATCAATCAGCCCCTTGTAAATTCAATGTTCATTTTATTTTTTTGTCAAAATTTTTTTTAATTTTACGACAAATGATTGCAGAAATTGCAAAAAAAAATAATCCAACTCCAAGATTTAATTGTAATATAACCGTTTCGAAAGTTCGATCGCGGCGAGCGTGCTCGTTTGTTTCTACCGCGACATATATGACGATTTTCGAATCGGTTTCGATGTCTTGAAGATTATCGCGTGACTCTGACTGGAGTTTGACCCCGGAATAACTCGGACGGAACGTATGGATGGGCTGTGGTGGGACAAGAGAAATGGACAGAGGGCATGGACGGGAAGATGGGGCAAGAGAAAGAGAGTGATACAGAGTCGATGGAGGCGGTTCGAGATATCAGATCGAGTCCGAGCTTCAACGAGGAAAGAGAGACCCCGAAGAAAAGATGGCGTGTCGGCTGTAGGAAGGAGCCGGTAGCCGGTAGGGATGTTCTGGTGGGTGAGCACAGCGTCCACCACACCGATTGATTGCTCCGATTGCTTACATTCTATCGATAAAGCACCAACAACGAGTCAAACTAAGGAGAGGAGCACGTTCCTCGAATACCTGCCGCGGGTTGATTCCTAAGTCGTTCGCCTTTTCAGCATGTCTCTGGTACCGATGATCGCTGACAAGAGAACGTGCCGAAAGATGAATATCATTCGTCTTTCAACGTAGACCGCGAAAGATAATCACTGCTTATATTGGAATCTATCCACACTTAATCAAAATATTTGATTAATTTGTTAAATGTACGTCTCAATGTAACAAAAATATCGTATATAATTGTAATTAATATCCTAGATTGTTTTCTTCATTTTTTAACCTGTCATTGACAAATAACGTATAACAGCACAACTACGAGTCCACTAAGATTAACATCTCCTGATAACACATTCGTGCGAAATTTATGTGCATTCCGCATTGTAATAATACGTATAATTATCCACTGACCGCATAATTAATCAGATGTACATTATAAATCACGGCTCCTCGTCTTGTCCGCCAACAATCTTTCTTAACGGGGTTTAGTCCAAGGTGTCCAGGTGAATTCGACGCTGTATAATGATGGCACCGGTAGCCGAAATGACATATTTCGATTCCGGCACGATCGAGCACCTTATCTACTGTGTTGTCGCTGCCAAGGAGTACAGTGATGGATCGGTCGGTGGAGGAAGGTCTTCGCTGTTATATGCGTATATGGGAATACTTTTCGTGAGAGAAAGGGAGGTGATTCGATATCAAGCCGCTGTCACGGCCTCGTTGCAGTCTCATAGCAATTTCGAGAGCGAGTATTCTCGAACGGGTGCCCGTAGCAGCAAACCGCGCGTACATAATCGCTCCCCTTTGTACGTATTCTACCTAGCATCCTCGAAAACTTCCAACTGTCTTGAGACGCGCCGAATTCTGAAGCAAAGAAATGCTGGCAGGATCAGAATCTGAGGAGAGTGATCGATCACTTGGACGAACTTGCGCGCGCCGAAACGAAAGATGGAAGTTTCACCATAGGTCATAGATATAGCCACGTAGAAACCCGAAACGTCGCTATGAGAAATCACGAAACAAAGTTTCATTAATGTTATCTTTATAACGTAAAAATATGTAAGGAGATCTTGTTACTGATACGAATTAATTCAAGATATGTTGAACTTAAGGCCGTAATCACATTAGCGATTACGCCGATATTGTGATTAGCGATTGACGATTATTTTTTAATCAATCGGAGCAAAGCATTACCGATTGCTTTGCTCTAAGATTAAAAAGTAATTGTCTATCATCATTCACAATTGCTAAATGTGACTATAGCTTTACGCCATTCCAATCTAATTCTTTCAAATTCATGAAAGGATTACGTCAAATCGACATTTAAGAGGTTGGCCATAGCACATCTCAGATAGGTTTTTTTAAATCTTATTCTAAAAAAGTAAAATAAAAAGTATTGCCCAGATGTCTAGAGGTCTTAAAGTTCATTATTTTTATATTCTTCTGTCTCAAAAAGTATTAACTAATGTAAGTTTAACTATAACACAGAACTAGAGTGTGGCGAACGAGGCATTTGCCTCATGTAAACAATTTGAAGGTGCAAAAATGATAATATAATTTCCTACATATTCTAATTCATTAACGATGAGTTTGAGTTACGATCCACTTGATGTTAAAACATTAAATTAAAGTTGATAAAAAATTATTTATGGTCATCATTAAATAAAGAAAAATTATGAAATAGAAATTCTTTCAATCGAAAATGAAATAGAAAATGAAAGGCTAAGATTTTGATACAATAATTGATAATTTCGCATCTATCAAAACACGAAAAATATTATTGTGATTTTAGTAACTATATTTCATTTATAACATACATGTAAATTTGTATGATTATAATGTATAATCCTCCCCTCTCCTGTACACGTGATTATATTAAATTAATATTAATATATATTATTAATTACTATTAATTACTATTAATTAATATTTCTTATTATATTTCACGTCATAAAAAATTTTTTTTTTTACTAAGGGATGTATTTTTTATTTTACTTCGGCCGAAATGCCTAGTCCCGGCTCTGCTATAACATAATATACTTATAAAATTAAATTATAAAATTAAATATTTTTTGAAATATTCTGACCTCCGTCTATCAACTTACGTATCTTCGAACGACGTATCTACTTGAAGGTTAACATTCGAACATAACAAAGTATTACGTTAGGTGAGATAACTTGCAAGTTGGCTTTTAGCTATGACCTTTTAGTTAGACATAATGCAGTTATGCGTGCGATGTGAGAGAGGAATAAAAAAAAGATTCGTCCTTTGCAGTGCGTCCTTCCAACTCCCGATACAGCGATCGGTTAGACGAGAGCACGAGATCTCGCGGAACAATGCATAAACACGGGCACGCGATGCATTATGCATGCGTGCGCCCTGGCTTTTCTCGAGCACGGCACGATGGGAGTGTCGTCAAATCAACGCCCCATCCGTGTCGTTCACGCCTCGCACGGCCTTCCAAATGCGATTTTCAATCGTAATTACGACACGTTATACATGTATGTACGCGCGCGCGCCTTTCTGTTCTCTTCGTTGAGGCGGCGAAACGAATGTTGGAGGAATTAGTTGCCCGATTCCTCTGTCCGGTCCTTGATCCCTACACTATCTTTCTACTTTGTGCTAAACAAACGTGATTCTAATGAGAGTGGCAAGTCCTAAACTGTAAGAAATTGGCCAATCACAGTTAAGTGTGAGAAGAATAATCGACTATGATTGGTTAATTTCTTATGGCTTATCGCTTACGATTCTATGGTAGAATAGGCTGAACAGCCAAGGCCGAGAAGTTTTTAAAATGTGATAAGTGTTTAAAACGCTCCGTGTAGCGAGAGAATAAATTATTCACGCGAATATCTACAAAAATGATGTAGGTACACTGAGAGAAATGTTTGGTATGAATAACCATTTGTTTTGTTGATATGTGACTTATAAAAACTTTTTTAATTGTTTATTTAAAAATTATATTAAACATTAAAATATTTTTATAATAAGTTAGAACATCTTAATTTATTCGCTCTTTGGCCGCTTATTTAATATTGTGGACATTGAGTTTCAATAACGAACAGGTTATTGTTCATCTTTTTAAAAATTATATTGTTCTAATCAAACTTTTTGGAATTTTAATTAGAGCAATCAAATTTTTTAATTAAAAAATAAGAAAGTTTTTGTAAGTTACATATTAATAAAATAAATGATTCTCACACCAAACATTTCTTTCAGTGTATACGCGTTGAGAATGGCGGTTTTCGTAAAATTATTAAACGAGAAGCGGACTTATTACCTATACATCACATTAAAAACAGCGTGATACTTCACGGACGAGAGCATGTCGTCTTTTTACGAGTAGGTAAAAAGTATTTGTTAAATCACTCTTCGTGCTTTTGGTTTCGAAGATATCCAAGTCACGAAATTAGGTACACGAAAAACTCGCGAGTAGCGACAGCGACCCCAAGGCAGCTCATCGGTGTCCCGAATTACATAACAGTGATGTTTGACTCGTTTCTACGAGCATTCTTACAAGAATGACTTTGGAATATGTCGAATCTCGTCTTACCCCGCGGGAGACGGCGCCTAAATGGTCAAATTACAACTCGGACAAGGCGATGCTTGACCGCGCGAGATTCATTGAAATCAAAGTCTACGTCCACGCGGAATAGAAACACACTTTCGGGTTTAGATATAGTATAAACTTTCTCCTGGTGACAACATTTTATTGTTTTCGTTGGCCGTTTATATTTTTCCGGCACTCTTCATGGTGGTCTCGATAAACCACACGAGAAGTAAATTGGATGACTTAAATATCATATTAAAAATAAAAATAAAGATGCATTACGTTACTGAGAAAAGTGTTTGATATTTATAATTGCATGATAAAATAATTATTATGATTAGGAACGCCATTTTTAATACCTCTATAATATTAGTAATCATAATTACATATTTACAGTTTTATATACCAAAAAAATATATTACCGAAAGCGAATATAAATCATCGTCATTTTTTTATTTATTATATATTTATGATATGTATTTCTTTGACGTAATAACGCTATAAATATATAATTATTATTATTATTAAGATTATAGAAATAATAACTATAAAAATGTAGATAACCATAATTATTTTATCATGCAGATAAATAACAAACACTTTTCTCTCAGTGTAGTCATGAAATTAATCCACATTACAATGATGTTGTCACGTCATTATAATGTCATCGAATTTGTATTCATAACATTCTACTTTTTATATTCTAAATGCGACTAGTTATTTCTGACATTTAATTGGTTAAACGTTAATCGCTTTTGTTAGAATGAAAAGAAAACAGTCACATTTGGCACTAAACATAGCGTGAATACGAGTCTGAGACTTTAAATAATGCTTCGCACGAATCATGAAAAGATCCATCCACATTCTCGCGTGGCCGTCAAAGGATTTATTGGCGTATAATTCAAGGAGTTAAAATATATGTTCTTCTCTCTCTTAGATAAATTTCTCTAAGATAAATTTAGACGATGCAAAGAGTCCTGTATGGATATCGTTCTCACAGAAGACACGTCTTCTCGATGTGTCCCACGAAATAAAAACGTCACCGTCGTCCAAACTACCCAGGAGATCGTACCTCCTCAATCGTGAGAAGCAAAAAGAAACGGTGCATAACTTGACTTAAAAAAAAATAGTCGCGTGTCTCTTTTCGTATAAGCAGCCTCGCGATTTTTCATTATCGACATAACATGACGAAGCATTGGAAAACAGCAAGTATTAGTTTGAAGTTAAAGTTATAAAAATTCTTATAGATTCAAATAATTTTCATTTGTATAATTCAATAAAGTATCCAATACGTCAAATCTTTAAGCAAAATATTTATAAAACAAATAAAGAGCCGAGTTCCATTAAAAGTTCATATACGTTTTTAAGATATTTTTAAGATATTAATTAAATAGCATTAAGAATTATTAGTAGGCAGCTTTGACAAACTAACTGGCAATGATGCCAATAATACATATTATAAAAAGATGTACTGTAATAAAATAAAGTATAGCGTATTCAAGAAGAGCCAACAAAGTGGCAGATTGTCCCGACACGTGTAAGATGACTGTCCTAGCATATCGAAAAGTATTCACGATCATCGATCCGACGTTCGGGGCCACGTATGAGTTTCTCACGTGTCGCACGCATCGAGATTCCTCTCCCGGTTGTGCGTAGAGAGGGTAAGGAGATGGTGGGCGAGGAGGAGGAGGAGGAGGAGAAGGAGGGCGCCTCCTTCGTAACAAGGAACCCCCCGTGGACGAACTAATTCTCCCGGATGACTCGCGAGGCTACGGCCCTGCGGGGGTCTGAAACAATGCGCGAGAAACGGCCCTTAAGGCCCCGTAAGACTTACAAGCCGCCGACTACGGCGTGCTCCTCTCTCCGAAACTCGTCGGCTATTCGCTGAATCACCTTCTGGATACTGTGCGCGAGATGCGTCTCGCGGATGTGTAGCAATGTGTAGAAGCGACCGCGGAGAGAGATCTATCGGTGGATTCAGCGAGATCATAAAGTTTTTAGCTCGGGGAACGAGTTCTGATAGCGATGCGCACAAATAATCATCGATAGATGAGAATCTAATGAACGAACGCATTCATCTTTCCATCGATCCTATTAACTGCAGTGGGATGTTTGTGCTACTCGAAAGCTGCACACAGGAAGACTATCATTTAAAATACCAAATCATATCTAGAGTGATTATCTTGTAAATTATGAATGTAATTCGCTCTCTGTAAATCTTGCTTTTCTTTTCTTTAAAATAATTCCGAGGAAGATAAAAGTTTAATTACCCCGCTATATAATGAAAGTAATTAAAAGTCATAAATTAGTTCTCACAATTAAATCATATAAATATAATATAAAATATAATACATAAATACTTTTTTTTACTCTATGAAATGACAACGTTTGCCCAAATTAACTGCAGTTTGAACATTCTTGATCGTCATTCGTAGCCATCGCTAATTCCGC